AACATCAATTTGAATTCTTTATCTGTAAACAATGACAGCACAAATTAACATCCTAATTATTATGCAAAATTAAATATAAAACCTAATTTACCTGCAACAATATCTATGTATGGAAATGTTACATTGTAACCAGTAGCACATATGATGGCGTCTACATCATCCACTATCGTGCCATCCACAAACTCCACACTTCTTTTCTTCAACTGTTTTATGACAGGTCTACACTTCACAGCACCACAGAAAATACGATTAGCAATGTCATCGGTTAACATTGTTCGATGTTTGTACAATCGTTTACTGGATTTTAACCCCAGTTTGTCATGATCCACTTGTGACAGTATCTTTTTTTCTGCGATGTAATACTTGGCAGAGTTAGGAAGGCAATCTAGTATACGTTTGTTAGCCATTTTGTCTATTGGAATTGCTTCACGTCCCATACGCAGAATCACAAACGTCCCGTCTCGCATGGAAATGTACACCTAAATAAAGATGGTAAATTTGAATATATTGTTGTGATTATGAATAAAATGAACAACTATACACTACCACCATTGAAAAATGATTTTCATTCATCATTTAAAAAATATTAATAAAAAATTCTTTCATACAACTAAATGCAATGGGATTAGTTCTTATAACTTAAGTTACGGCAATATTACGTCAAGAAATGAGAATGAAATTCAACACCTGTTTGGCATATCTGCTGACTTCTGAGGCAACATCTCCAGCTGAATTACCATCACCTGATGGTTTAATAAGAAAATAATAATCAGTGAAAAACATAAAAAATGATCATTGGATGCAATAACATGTGTCCTTCGGAAAAGCATTGAAAATGTTAATCTCTCACTGGTCACTGGTAGCATAGTGGTTGTTGCACCAGACCCAAGTTCAAATCCTACCTTAGGCTGAATATCAAAGGGTCAACCCCTACCCTGGGTGAGTGTGCCACAGACTCAATGGGAAAGCCAATTCCACTGGCTGAGATTCATTCACTTATGAATGTGACTTTGGGGGAAACTTGATTAAGGTCCGCAGGTGCTTGTGTTCGACCAAGCCTGGTTGACGCCAGGATAGCGCATTAAAATTGCCATTTGATAGGGAGATGGCCACACAGCCCTGTCATGTAGTGCCAAACAGGAAATGACTTCTGTGGCAAAATGCACTATGTGTCAGCACTTGCAAAAAAAAGTCAGGAGTGACAACAGTGACATTCAATGTCCGGAACTGTCGCCTGGCACAAAAACATTTAAAAAATAAATGCAATGTTTTGCAAATTAATAAATTGGATCACAATCAATTTCCCACCTTGAAAACTTTTTGTTGAGCTATCAGAAACACTTGTTCTTTGGTATGTACCTCAAAACAGTTGTTTTTCATAAAATCACAACATTCTTGGGAATCAGCCTCAAGAATTACTCTAAGCAAAAAAACATTTTCTGTCTTACCAACTACAATCACAGTTTTTTCTCGAAAATCACAGCCTCTTTTAAAACAGTTGCTGTGCATTATTAATCCTTCAAATGTTTCACTTCCTTTATATTTAGGCATATTCTTAGATGATTCCAGTCCAGTACAGCACATCACAGCATCAAAGACTTCACTCCTGTTCGACTGTTCCCCAGTCTGTAGATTTAACACCCACTGTCCTGTACGGCAAAAGTTTGACGTTGGTGTCACTTTTAATACTTTTGTGTTAAAATTGATGAACTGATATAGTGCAAATTTTTCTGCATATTGATTATAATATTCTTTCATCAAGTGATGCCTTAAGTATACCGGTGTCTCTTCAGGAAAAGGAAAATCACTGAAACAGGTCATTTCACTACACGTATTTGTTACTAAACTTTCATAGATAGCGGCTCCATTGGTTTCACATGGTTCATCATGATAGGCCCATATGCCACCTAAAATACATAAACAAACAAAATTAAAGACTCAAATTTTAGTCACATCAGTATTAATCATGTGTTTGTTGTGAAATCTGCAAATGCACACAATTTATCTAGCATATTTTCTTCTCTACAAATAACAATAAAATCAATTTTGGACATAAACGACTATCTTGATTTAAGAAAACCAGAAAATGCTAAAATTGTTGTAACATCATTTGCATTTTGGCTACAGACACCAAGGTGACTTTTATATAGTTACAATATGTAAGAGGACAGAATAAAATCATACATGCACATGTACATATTGCTCTAGCACAGTTTCTCATGTGCGATTTTCAAGATTTTCCCAACATAGATCTGAAAACCTTGCATGTATAGCCTGGTTATTTAGTATTCTTGATCCAGACTTGAACTGACAGAGTTTTGTTCTGTTTGGTATGTCTAGAATTAGAGGCAAAAATGTACAATTACACATTGCGAAAAAGGAAATTGCACTGGTAACCCCCGATTTCAAATTGTTGACCCCTAACTTTACCGGTACTTTCAAGCCTTTAATTTTTTCTTTGTATAGAAATAATATTGTATGATATCCAAGATTAAATTTTTTTCTCAAGGTCTTGTACCACCCTATTAGCTAGTGTACCGGTACTTATATGGCTGTGGCTAAAAACATTCAAAAAGAATGTCACCATTATTACTGTATCTAAAAACACTATTTGGCCAAAAAAAAAACTTATGTTGCCCTCAAGTTGGATAATTGAAAAATTTGGTAGGTTGGTCAGATTTTTTTTTTTTTTTAAACTCGTGAAAACTAAAGGTATCGTAAATAGCCGAGGTATATGGGAATCAATCAAACACATGCTAGATATTAAACACAAAAGTCAAAGTGTTTCTTTCAGTCTTTTGTATTGAAATACAGTTTATAGTTTTTTTGTTGGCGTTTCATTTTACTTTTAATTTATTATATATTTCCGTTACTAACTTCATTTTAGTCTGTTTTTGGTTGTCTTCAAACTATTAGCCATTGTAATTTGATTAATTTTTATCTGTAATTTTTTTGTTGTTGTTGTAACCTTTAACCTCCTTCAGTAGGTTGTTATGAGTTAATAAATTGTATTGCACTATCAACCTGAGGTTGAAAGTCACCACTTATCCCCCGGGGACCCTGGGGATCAAACAACGGTCTGGGAACGTTAATTTTTAGAGGAAACACTTTTTTACTGCTAAAATGGTGAGTTTTCAATATTTGGGTCTATTTAAATATATATATTTATATTTTTCGGTTGGTCGCTGAGGGCAACAAAACAATTTTTTTTTTTTTGGCCTTATATTGCTGTTCAGTATTTGTGAAAGTACATGCAATGTCAGGGGTGTCAAGTTGTAGTTAGTTCGTGTGTAGTTCATTAGTTCGGACACTCATTGACTATATGTCCATACAATACTCTTTTAGTAACATTAACAATAATACGAACCAATTTCATCCCCCTGTTCAAAACAAACCGGACTGAGTCCTTCATCGAGGCAACACTTGATGGATACCAATCCACTGATACCAGCTCCAATGACAGCAACTCGTTTTACCATTCTGTTTTCCCTTGGTATATGTAACCATGCAACACTTATCCCCACAAAATCACTCTGTGGGAAACTAGTATTTGGCTTTTTGACCTATTGAAAATAGAAACATTGACTGTAATTAACTGAATTCAGAATCTCTGCATATTTCCTAGATGTTCAATTGGGTTGGCATAGGGGCAATACTAAATATTATATATTATAATATTTATGATCGCACACAAGCAGGGATAATAAACATACCCTGGTACATTCCATGTTGTACTAGTAATCATAGTATTTGGAATATACACAACCAAAACAAATACTTTATTTAAGAAAAACCAATGGTAATCTAAAACAAAAAAACAAAACAAATAAAGCCTACTTGAATATACTTAATGGGGGGGCGCAAGGGGGATAGCTGGTACAGGTTACAGAAATTAAAAACGGCATTTTATGATTTTACAGGAAATAAAATGAAAGTTCCATTTACAGTAAAACAATAGTTTTTTACGCTTTACTGATGAATCAAATTTCTAATTACATTGTACATTTTTATAATATTTTTGTTAGTTTGTGTTTATAATAATAAAATTGGAAATTGTGTACAAATTACGACATTTAATCCGGAAAATGCTTTACAAAACGCTCACAAAAAATAAAATATTTTTATACAAATTACGGACGAATAAAATAGCTGATTACATTTTACACCTTGTCCATGTCTACAAATTTATGTTTTTTATTTATTTAAATTACATTATTACGAAAATAAAAACAATTGATTACAGCTTACGAAAATCCCCCTGCCGACCCTCTTAATACAACTGGGCAGGATTTATTCATTTAATTCAGTCAAAAGATCAAGTAAAAGGTATGTGTACATATGAATACCAACTTGGCAAATTTGATTTTGCAAAATTTAGATTTAATTTGTCAATGTTACATTACTGTATTTGTTTTATATCAACTGTGTGTTGTGCATGTTGCAAATAAAATACACTATTTTGTTTACACTGAGCCGGATTCACGACGCACCCTCCCCCCAATGGTAATCATGATACATGGGCATACTAGTATATGGAGCAGCAAGAAAATGACCTCTACAACCCTACGCCCGGTTCAAAACCAAGTTCATTGTATAATTGAAACACAACATTATCTCACGTAAAAATATTGATATTTCATATATAATATTCCAAAACCCAGAAGTTAGCACTACATGTTTGGGCAGAGCTCCAGAAGGAGT